TCTTGTTTGAAGGCGAGGAGAGCACGTCTCTCCTCATCGATGCATGGTTTCGAACTTGAAAGTGCATCACCAAAATGGAGTTTACTAGTGTGTGGATATGAGGAGGCCAAAAAGAAGATGAGGAAATAATGAGCAATGCTGAGGTGATATGTAGGACGGAATAAGAAATTTGTAAAGCTAGCCATTATGGTAAAGTTTTCTTTGCTTTTGTTTCGGAGTTGGCTTCTGAGCAGAATAATTGAATTTATAGGAGGTAAAGGAGAGTGCAGAATAATTGAATAATTGAAATCATGGCGTAAAGATAAGATTATTTCGTATCTTCAACCATGTGTACTAGATTGACTAATACGCATAAATATCTAATGACCAGGTCCAGGACTCAAGTCAATCATAGCTAATTGTAAATGGAAAGACTGTTGGTAATCAATAAAAAATGTGTAAGGAGTGGCCGACACTCTTTTCAAATTAAACTTTTTAACAATTTAATTAATGCAGAATTTGACATTTCTTTTTCTTTTAAATCAAACAATAATAATTAATTAATGTCATTGGGAATAATCAATACCATATCTTTTTTTTTTAAATAATTTTGTTCAATAATACCAATGGTAATATTTAAATAATGTGCTTTCAACCAAGTCAAGAATTAACAGTAATAAAAAAAATTGTCCAACTAAGGAAAAAAAATAGCAATATTTCATTTATTACTAAAAGAAGAGTTTAAATAAAATATTATTACCAAAAGATAATTGTATTTCTCTGTTTTTATTTTTGTTTTTGTTTAATGTGCAATCTGAATTTAAAAAAAAAAGGAGAAATACAAAAGAAGAGTTTTAATCAAATAATATAACCAAAAGTCCCCCACGCGAAGGAATATGTATTTGTTTATCTTCATACGTATAAAAAAAACACAATATTTGTTCAATATGAATATAAAAAAACACAAAAGAGGAATTAATTAAATAAAATATTAAATTGGTATCAAAAGTCGCCACGTAATAAAGTTGTTGAAGCTACCCAATGTAGGAGACTTTATTTCTTATTAGCTCTCGGATTTCAATATGGTTTTGTCATTGCGTGGCGGTTTTGTATTGTAGGTTTGGGTAGGCGTGCTTTTGTTTGCTGAATCAAGGATTTTAATCACTTTATGGGTTGTGCATGATTCTATCTAAATCAATTCAACTTGTTGTGTTTGGTTACTAAAGAAGATTTACCTATCTTTGGCATCATAGTGGCTTTGTACTTGTTTATGTTCCTCTTATCAATAAAATAGTATCACTCTTTATAATATATATATATATTAGTAATCAATATAAAATGATATTATGAAGTGGGCCAAAACGAGTAGTTAGGGTTGTATTAACTTATCAACCGATTCGAGCTTCTATTCAAATTATTTTTTAAAATTTTCTGCATCAAATGCTGCATCATGATTAATCATATGAACTGCAACAGTAATTTTTCTTTTTCTTTTTCCAATCAATATTTTCTTTGCAAACGAGCCAACTTCAGTTGAATTGCCAATGCAACCTTATTTTTGATGTCATCAAAGAATCGAAATAGGCATACCTACATGACTCCTTTACAAGTAATGTGCCACAAACACCCCAAAAGCACCGATAAAGCACAACACCATGCTGACATAAATCACAGCTTATCATTTCCATCTGCATTAGTGCCTTTTGCATTGTAGCAGTTAAAGTTTCATCCCCACACGGCACTTAGTTGAAAGAGGCTCTCCGCACAGTAACCAGTTGCCGTCATAAATGGACAAAAGGAATTCTACCAGACAAGATCAAGTGGGACAAGGAGGTTAAAGAAAAAACACTTCGAGGAATTTTTCGAAAAAGGCGATTGGGTGAGAGATCCAGAGTTTCCAGCCTTTTTCGAAAGTTCTTTGAAGGAATGTTTCCACTTATTTGACAAGTTCAGGATACTCAATGCAATGAGGCTTGTTATTTCTTCTGGGATTTCACTTTCCAAATTATTTGATGAAAGATCAATGCTTTTCACCCAGAATAGGGTCTTGTTATATGCTAGTTCTCTTCCTTTTGACTTCAATTAATGTGGTTTGTCCAAAATAGATTTCATAGTAACCCACATTCGAAATACCATAAACCAAAGAAGTCATATTTTTCAAACACTTGGGAATGGTCCTGAAAAGTTGTTGTGACTAAGGTCTAGGATGTCAAGCAAGGGAAGATTGCACAACTGAGGACATGCCAACTTAGAAAGTTGGATCGTAGTCGTAGGAAAAACTATTGATGTTGGCTCACTATTGTATTAATAATTGACACAAATTAATGTGCTAATCATCCAATTAAAAATACCTGCAAGTGCACGAATCCATTGGGGTATAGATTTTGTAAATACGGGGTCAATATCCCACGAAGAATTGTCGGCTTATTAAATGTTCCAAATTGAGTACGTAAAGAATACATATTTAACACACCACAAATGTAAAATACAAATTGGAAACTAAAAATAAGTAAAGAAAGGTAAAAGAAATGAAACAAAACAAGAAACCAAAGATAAATACAAACAGCAATATCTATCACCATTTTATCACCACTGTATCACCTGTTTATCACCATTTGAACAGATTCGTTTCTCTGTTTTTCAGCTTCGACCTCCGTTCAGTGTTTGGCTTATAACTTTTCAACTGTTTGTCCAAATTTCACGTTTTTTATATGGTTGGATTCAGTACAGAAAAATAAAGAACTCTACATGAACTAAATGTTAAAAACAGTTACGAAAATAAGCAGAATTCAGTGACGAAAATACACAACGTTTCAAACAACACAAACGTACAGCAATTTTTTTGGGGGGGGGGGGGGGGGATTTGAGTGACCTAATTCTAATGCTTGAAAGTAATCGAACTCTAATTTTAACAAGAATGACAGATATGAAAATCAAAGTGTGAAATTGATATGTAACAGACACTAGGGTTTCGGAATCCACCCTAAACAATCTTACCAATGTTCATGGACACTCAAGTGAGATGAACTCTAAATGTGTTGATGAAGTTGTTCGCAATCCAGACCGGGTCTAGTGGCTCAAGATGCATTGATTCTCTCTAATATAAGTAGAGTGCAAGACTAGTGCTACAATACTTGTGCCTTCCCTATAATCAATCTAGGTGTGCTTAGTACTTCGATTTGATTACAAGAAAAACCCATTAAGTTCAAAGAGAATATGAACATCACAAGAACCCTAATAGTATGATGTTTACATTAGGCATTCAAGAAACCAATTCACATGGATGATTCTTACTTCATTCATTTGTTTCTTAGGAAAACATGAGGATACACAAAATCCCAACAACCACAAGAAGCATGCTTTTAAAGGTGATCAATCAAAGAAAAACATACATCAAGGATAGATTAATTTAGTGAATGTGAATTCATCAACAATATCTAGGAATTCATACACTCAAGCATCAAAACAATAGAGTATTGATGTTTAGGGCTTCAACCTAAGCCCTAGCTATGGAGTTTAGTTCCTCATACTTATTTCAAACATAAATTCAAAACAAAACTAGAAAGAGTTTACAGATTTTGTGAAAGTGATGGAAGCTCAAGGTCTTTAATGGTGGAAATCTTCTTCACTTCTTGCTTGGCTGCACTTTGTCTTCCTCCTCTAGCTCTCTAACTCAAAAACATGCCCTCAAAATCTCTGCCAAATTGAATTGTCCGTTGAATGAGTCATGCACATCTCCTTTGCTCTCCTCTCTCTCCTCCTTTCCAACTCACCCATCAATATTAAACTCATTCTTTTTTTATGTCATGATGGGATTTTTGGGTTTTGTCTTCACAAAGATGCTTCTTGTCTCAGAAAATTGCACTCCATCAAAGTAATTTCTTGTTACCAAAAGGTATGGTAACAAGAAGAATCAAGATGATATCATGGAGGTAAAAACTTACCCAAGACAAATCTCTAGAGCTGTGGTAACATGCTGGATCAGTTGGATAGGCTATACTTGTTCAATGGAGCTCAAATTCGGATATGTTGTAGTCATCATCCATTGGAACAAGTTTCATGAAGATCTTCATCTCATTCGAGCACCGGAGCATGTTGATCCAATGCCAAGAAGTTGGCCTACGAAAATAAACAAAAACAGAATTTATAACCAATAATGCATTTTTAGCTCATTTTCATTCTAACCAAGGTAAAGTCTAAGAAAACACAAAAAGGAAGTAAAAATCTATAAAATTTCAAGAACTAAATCAAAATATTGGGTGAATAACATGATAAATAATGTGTAAAAATGAACATAATACTCACCTAATGGGTGCAGAAGGAATGAAGGAAAGAATCAATCAAAGGGATGCAGACCAAGTGCCTGGGCTCTAGCACTCATGCGATCGTTGGAGGCGCTCGAGCAGCAGAGAGGTGGAATTCACACAAACCCATGTGCTCAATCGGACTTGAGGAGCTCTCGAGCGGTAGACGCGTGACCTGGCTAATCCTTAGTATTTTAGGATGGTTTTTTTCCTCAGGTTTTGAGGAGGTTTAGGTTTCCTATTCCTTGTATGATTGTACGAAAGTCCTATAAACTATAAACATGCAATTTAGCGTTAGGGTTTTCATAAGAGAGAAAACAAGGGCATCAAATTGGGTTTGAGCAAAGGTGAGAGAAAGAGAGCTAGGGTTTGCGAGAGATAAGGGTGTTCTTTATTGTAACCAAAGTTGTTCTTATTAGCCATAACTCTATGGTTGATCAAAATGATCATCACACCCATAAAAAACCAGAAAATGGTTAACACACCCATGCTATGACATCTGCTGTGCTCCAACGGCCACAAAGGCATATTCAACACAAGGACAAGCATATTCCTTGTTCTTATCCGCTGAGTCATCCTCAGGGATCCTTGTCCTAGGGTTTTCTGTATAGTCTCTTGTGTATATATATGTACACCTTTTACCACAATTATAAATGTCAAGAGCAGCAGTCTTTTATTGTCTCATACACCACTGAAAGAATTCAAGTGCATTGAAAGATAAATCAAGATGTTCCAATGATTTGAGCCTCCCAAGTTCAAGGGGAAAGGCACCACTGAAAGAATTCCCCCTTAGATCAAATTTTCTGAGGTTAGCTAGATTCAAAAACCATTTAGGAAATGGAAACTTCAAATCATTATATGACATGTAAAGTGATTTGAGGCTAATATTTCCTAGGGAGAGAGTGGAAGGCTTTCAATTTGGCATGTTGGTAAGTGTACCTCCAGTAGGGAAGGAAGCATGTTAACAACATGTAGCCAACTTTCCCCTGTTTTGTTGAGGTCCAGCCTTCAAGATTGAGGTATTTTAGGGAAGAGAGATTGGAAAGCCAATTGAAGTTGTTGAAGTTCAAGTAAGTAGAGAGTAGTCAGACTCTTCACTGAGGTTAAGATAGTTTAAGTTTGAGAGGTTTCCAAGCTGAGGTGGAATCTCTCCTCCAAATGAAGCATAGGAGAGATTGAGATAACTCAAACTTTTAAGCTGACCAAAGAATTTGGGAATGGGAATCCCGTGAAAATCATTCCGGCTTAGGTCTAGGTAATTCAAATGTTTCAGGCTAAGCAAAGAAGGATTTATCTTACCCTCCAAAGAAGAGTGCTCCATCTCATCCCACTCTACATAAAAAGCAGATAGCGTATACTATACGTTTCATCATTTCGACATAACCTGTTTTGTTGTTGCATGAAACTCCTTTCCATTGACAGCAATGTTGACCAGCCCAAGAAGAAAGCCTCCCAGAAGGATCAGTAAGATCTTGTTTAAAGGCGAGAAGAACAAGTCTCTCTTCGTCGATGCATGGTTTCACACTTGGAAGTGCATCACCAAAGTAGAGTTTACTAGTGTGTAGGTATGAAGAGGCGAAAAAGAAAAGGAGGAAATAGTGAGCAATGTTGAGGTGAAAGTTAGAGCTGAATGAGTGTGCAAAGCTATACATTTTCATACAAAATTTTCTTTGGTGTGGTGCAGATGGCAACTGAGCAGAAAACTAAACTTATAGGAGGTCATGAAAGTGTAAAATGAATAACTAAATCATTGCCATCTGTTGATTATTGGCTCAAAAGCAAGGTTGCTTTCGGCTACTTTTGCACCCATGTGCAATGTTTCTTTCTGTCAAAAGTGAAATATAGTAGCTGGTTGAGTGACATTGGCAGACAAAATGAAATGGGAAGCATTAATTGGACAGCTGCATGTGGGAGACAATCTTTCATGGCTGGCCTTTGGCCGTTGGTTTCTTTGAAGAGCCAATCTCCTTTGGCTATAAAAGGGAAGCAGCCAGCATTCGTAAAGAGAGAGAAGAGCTGCAGAGAAGTTGGCAGCAGAGAAAGTGAGAAAGGAAAAATGAAGAGTTGGGCAGCAAAACAATTGTTGCTGTCGTTTGTTATTTTTCTTTTACTCTAAATTGTACTCAATTTGTATTCCCTTTATATTCTTGAGTGTGTGAGTTTGGGTATATTTGGGGCTTGGGTTTCTGAGTGTTAAATACTATTGTATTCTCTCATTTGATTATAGTGGATTACTCTGTTGTCTCCAAACTGGATGTAAGCATTGCCGAACCAGTATATAAATCTTGGTGTTCTTGTTGGTGTTGTTTTGTGTTCCGTACTTTATCTCTTGCCAGTTTTGGTTTATTTTCACTCACACTTTGTTGACATTTTCGCACAACACCATCCAGATTCCAAGTATTCAACCCATTTTACAAGTTGGCTAGATTGGCAAGTAGGCATAAACAAAACTAACAAAACCCTGTGAGGAAGATTCACCAAGGAACAAAAGGGAGTTCAAGTTGGTCTCTTTCCTCTGCGTTTTCCTCTTTCGTGTTCCGATGTTGATTATTTTAACAAAATTGTTGACTATGTGCCCTTCGCCTGATCACCAAACACACTGCATTCTTCACATGTTACAACTTGTGTTCTTGGTGGAAAATTTACGAAAAGATTTAAAAGAGAGAAAAAAAGAAGGCAAAGTTAGCATCTTCAGTGATTTATTTAATAGCCTGCAACTACATTGCAAATTAGTGGAATCACCATAGACCGACGTCGCCATGTTAGTCAAACACTTGGATTCTCAGAAAGGTGCAACTTTTCCACTTTGAGGACAAAAGTAATGATATTAAATCAAAGGGTATTGACCCCGAAAGTAAATCAAGAGATAAGGGTTGAAGCACTAGTGGACCACAATGGGGGTGGGCCCTCAAAGGGTTTGGGGAAACACTGGTCTCCTCCACTGTCTCAGAGACTAATCTGCGGATGCATGATGGTTTTGACTTGGGGGTCATAGTTTGATAGGAGATGAACCATTTAGATGGAAGGCATGCTCTAATACAGTATGGTACTGCAATTGTACCAAAGTATGGTGAAGCATAGTTTGATAGGAGATGAACCATTTAGATGTTTCATGTTGTTAAATTTGTTTATTCTAAGTCTTAGAATTCTTTTAAATTTGTTGTTTTTTTTTAATATTTCAATTTTGGCCATTGTTGAGACTAGAAAATGGTTTATTTATTTATTATATGCAATTGTATTTTTGACGTCCTAAGTTAAATTGAAATGAGAAAATAAAATGTCAATAGACAGGAAAATCAAAATGCTCAGGTTTATGGGGATTGAATAATAAAAATGCTGAGGTTATGAACACACAAAAAGGAAGTTGATTTTCTCATTCCTCTTTTATTCACTTACACTTCCTTTGTTAGAAATTATATGTTTTCACTCCTCTTTTGTCTGCTTACACTCCCTTTTTTGTTATAGTAAAAAGTATTTTAAAAAACAAAAGGGAGTATAAGTGGATAAAAAAGGAGTGGGAAAATCATCACAAAAAATGCTCAGGTTTACGGGTAGAAACCAACCAGCAAATATCAAAGAAAACAATAGGGTAATCCCCCGTGGGAACAAATTCAACATTCTGGCTTTGTGAAAAGTCTGTCGATAAATCTCCTAAAGAATCACAATTGAAAGAAGAAAAAATATATTTCAATTTGTCAATAATCTTTGTAAAAAGTAAATTCAATTTGTCAAATAAAAAAAACTTTTAAAATACGTGTTGAGAAACATACAATTTTAAAAAAATTGTAGGGGTGCACAATTTAATTTTAAAATTCATAAGTCAAAGAACGAATAATTTGGTGTTCTAACTGAAGGGGAAAAACATATCACACGGGATATGAACTTCATAAATACTCAAGCATTTTGATTTAAAAAGAACTTCTTCGACTTTCCTGTTCTAATCAAAGTTTCCTTTGCAAAGGAGTGGCTTTCACTGCAATTGCTAGTGTTGCTTTTTTTTTTTTTTTTTTTAAAAAGAACCTCGACGGTACGAGGGAAACTTTATTAATCATCAAAATAAAAACGGGGGCTTAAAAACCTTACCCCTATTACAAGCATCAAAGAGAAGACAATCTTGAATAATATCTCGTGGTTCCTCAAACCACTCTACTTTAGACTCATAAGACAGTGCACCCCGCGCAACACGGTGCGCTACATCATTGGCTTGACACCTAGCAAACAAAAAAACTAAACCCATTCCGGTTTGTAACCAGGGTTTTTATATCTTTAATAATACTACCAAAATAGAAATGGTCTTCATTTGTCCATGCAATAGCTGAGATGACTTGCATACAATCCCCTTTGAAAATCACTCTTGGCAAACCAAGCGACACACACATAGCGTTGCCTTATCTTTGATGTCGTCAAACCATCGAAAATAAGCGTACCTCCATGACTTCTTCACAATTAATGTGCCAAAAATACACCAAAAGCCTACGATAAACCCGAGTGCCATACTCACATAGAACCAGAACTTCTCATTTCCATCTTCATTGTCATTGCCTTTTGGATCCTTGGGAGTAGAATTGCCATCTTCAAAGCACTTGGAAGAAAGAGGAAATCCACAAAGGAATGGGTTGCCCTCATAAATGGTTGAGTCAGGGAGTGCTTGGAGTTGGTTTCCCAAAGGAATTTCACCACTCAAGTTGTTATAGGACAAGTTCAAGTTAGACAAGAAGGTCAAGGATGAAAGACTTTGAGGAATCTGTCCTGAAAGGTGGTTGAGTGAGAGATCAAGAGTATCGAGCTGCAACAAGTTTCCGATCTTTGATGGGATGTTTCCACTGAACTGATTCATCGACAAGTTCAAGTTGCGCAATAGAACAAGGCTGCATATTTCTTGAGGAATTTCACCTTCAAACCTATTTGATGAAAGATCAATGCTTTTTACATACGCTAGAGAAGTGTTCAATTGGAGTTCTCTTCCTCTCATCACTGTTGTTTGTTGGTCATACCCTAGATATATATTATAAAAACTATTATTAAAGATTCTAAGACCAGTTAGATTGTTCAAACACTTGGGGATTGTCCCGGAAAAGCTGTTGTGAGAAAGGTCTAGGATGTGAAGGTAGCCAAGATTGCACAACTGTTGTGGGATATGTCCACTTAAAAAATTGGATCTCAGCCTTAGGGTTGACACCAAGAAAGCAGTTGATCCTATCCATGGAGGTATTTCACCAGTGAATCTATTATTCCCGAGATCAATGTTCCTCAAAGAAGTGCAGGTTTGCAAGGAAAAAGGAATTTCACCCTCAAAATTGTTGTTGTTCATCTTCAACATGAAAAGAGAACCTGAGTCACCCATTGAAGTGGGAAGATTTCCTGAGAGATTATTGTATGCAACATCTACAATCATTATATCAGGCAACAGGCTCCATGCTTTTGGAAATTCTCCTGATAGCTTGTTGTTTCTCAGAGAAAGGGTATACAAGTGTTTCATGTGGCAAATGGAAGGTGGAATGGTGCCATGCAAATGATTTTCAGCAAGAAGAAGTAATTCCAATTTTGGAAACTTTTGGTCAAAATTCAATGGAATGGTGCCAGAAAATGAATTAGTTGCAAGCTTAAACCCAACCACATTGTCACCAGACCAAAGTGGAATTGGTCCATCAAATTGGTTATGACTCAAATCCAAAAACAGTGCATTTGGGAGTTTCAATTGCAAGGGAAGCTTTCCATGGATTTGGTTGGAAGACAAATCCAAATACTCAACTTGGGAAGATAGTTTCATGAACCAATCGTCGGATATAGAATCTGAGATTCCTGTAGTAGAAAGTTTGACAAAGACAAGTTCAGTTTGAGATTGAAGCCATGCCCCGAAGGCAGGACCTACTTTACAGTTCCCAATGTCAATTTTGTGCAGCTTGAAAGGAGGAACCCACTCATAAGACACATTGAAAATGAGAGGAATAGGTAGAGTAGGGTATGGGGTGTCTTTGCCTAATGCAAAGTATTTCAATCTTGTGAGATTTGTGAAATGGGCTTCTGTTAAAAACCCTTCCCATGAGTTAAAAGATAGATCTAGGTGAACAATCTCGGAGAGTTGCCCCAAACTTTTAGGAATGGACCCACTCATATCATTATTGTAGAGGTTAAGATACTTCAAGTTGTGTAGCATCCCTACTGAGGCAGGCAATTGGCTTTTCAGCTTATTAGAAGACAAATCTAGTGACTCTAATTCACTATTGGGACAACTTGATAAACCACCCAAAAGCTCTTGAATACCCCCTTCGAATTGGTTATTTGCAAGATTCAATGTCTTTAGATTGCAAAAGTTCCCAAATTTTTTGGGAATTTGACCTTCAAGATCATTAAAAGACAAATCAAGAGCTTCTAGTGATTTGAGGCTTTGAAATTCACTGGGAACTGGACCACCCAAAAAATTTCCGCTTAAATCAAGTTTTCTGAGGCTAGTCAGATAAAAAAACCATTCAGGAAGTGGAAACTTCAAATCATTATATGACATGTCAAGAATCAAAAGTGATGTGAAGTTAACATTTCCTAGTGAGATTGGAAGGCTTTTAATTTGGCATGCGGGTAGGTGCAACTCTAGTAGGGAAGGAAACTTGTTAAAAGCAATTACCAAACTTACCCCTAATTTGGCATGCGGGTAGGTGCAACTCTAGTAGGGAAGGAAACTTGTTAAAAGCAATTACCACACTTACCCCAGTGTTGCTGAGGTCCACTCCTTCAAGATTGAGGTATTTTAGGGAAGAGAGATTGGAAAGCCATTTCAAGTTGTTTTGAGGTAGTTCAAGTAAAGAGTAGTCAGACTCTTCACTGAGGTCAAGATAGTTCAAGTCTGATAGATTACCAAGATGAGCTGGAATCTCTCCTCCAAATGAAGCATGTGAGATATTGAGATACCTCAAACTTTTGAGTTGACCAAAGAATGTGGGAATGGGAATCCCTTGAAAATCATTCCTGCTTAGATCTAGGTAGCTCAAATGTTTCAAGCTAAGCAAAGAAGGATTTATCTCACCACCCAAAGAAGAGTTCTCCATCTCATCCCACTCTCCATCGAAAACAGAAAGTGTGTATGTGTATGTATTTTAGAGATCAATCTTTTCAACATGACCTGTGATGTTGTTGCATGAAATGCCTTTCCATTGACAGCAAGCTTGACCAACCCAAGAAGAAAGCCTCCCAGAATGATCAGTGAGATCTTGTTTGAAGGCGAGGAGAGCACGTCTCTCCACGTCGATGCATGGTTTCGAATTTGGAAGTGCATCACCAAAATGAAGTTTACTAGTGTGTGGATATGAGGAGGCCAAAAAGAAGATGAGGAAATAATGAGCAATGCTGAGGTGATATGTAGGACGGAATAAGTAATTTGTAAAGCTAGCCATTATGGTGTAAAGTTTTCTTTGCTTTGGTGGAGTTGGCTTCTGAGCAGAATAATTGAATTTATAGGAGGTAAAGGAGAGTGCAGAGAACTATTGATATCATGGCGTCCAGATAAGATTTCATATCTTCAACCATGTGTACTAGATTGACTAATACGCATAAATAAGATTAAAAACCCTTATTAACTATTATACCATTGACCAGGACTCAAGTCAATCATAGCTAATTGTAAATGGAAAGACTGTTGGTAATCAATAAAAATGTGTAAGGAGTGGCCGACACTCTCTTCAAATTAAACTTTTCAACAATTTAATTAATTAATGTCATTGGGAATAATCAATACCATATCTTTTTTTTTCTAAATAATAATACCAATGGTAATATTTAAATAATGTGCACTCAACCAAGTCAAGAATTAACAGTAATAAAAAAAATTGTCCAACTAAGAAAAAGAAATAGCGATATTTCAATTATTACTAAAAGAAGAGTTTAAATAAAATACTATTACCAAAAGATAATGTATTAGTAATCAATATAAAATGATATTATGAAGTGGGCCCAAACGAGTAGTTAGTATCATTTTATATTAACTTATTAAGTTAATAAGTTATCATTTTATATCATTTTATTACGCAGTGGCAGTATTAACTTATTAACCAATTTGCGCTTCTATTCAAATTATTTTTTAAAATTTTCTAAAGGACTCCGCCACTGCGTTTCACCCAGAACAGAGTTGTGTATATATTAAGTTAGAGTGCTGCTATTTCCACCCACCTGTCCTATTTCCCCACCCACCTTATTTTCAAAATTTTAAAGACAAATTTATCCTTTTGTAAAATGACTTCTAAGGACTTAAGAAAGAAAAAGATATTTTAGAAATAATTAAAGGGTAGGGTATTTTAATGTTTTATTATCTCTTAATCACTAAACAATTACCCATATTTTTTTTTCCTATGTCCGACTTCTAACCCTAAACCCTGAACCCTCCGTCTTCCTCCTCCTCCCTTCACCCTCCTCTTCTCCTTGGAAATTCCATTATGTCTGTTGTTCTCACTGGTGCCACAAATCACATCAATACATTCATTATTCTCTCTCTACATCAATTCAAGTACTGCTGGATAATTCAAAAGGCTAATCCAATAGAACCTTATATCCTCTTGAAACCATCTAAAAAATTCAACTAAACTCTTCCTGCAAATCTGAAAAAATCTTTTCTTTCATCGCCACAACAAATATCTCAATAACTTTCCTAGTTGAAGTCTTAAAACAAATCAGTTCATAATATGTTTTATAATTATTAGTTATTGTATCCCAAACACCCAGAACAATGTAATCATCTAAACCAATTATCTTCATATATAGATCTAGAAAATATAGAAGTCAAGAGAGGCATGAATAATGATGTAGCGGCAGTGAGAAATCCGATACAATTGCCATGGTGAAGAGAGGGAACTGTCATGTGCTTCTATTCAAATTATTTTTTAAAATTTTCTAAAGGACTCCGCCACTGCGTTTCACCCAGAACAGAGTTGTGTATATATGAGTCATCTTCCTTTGGGCTGTGATGCTTCTATCATCTTCTGTCTCCTATCAAAAGTGTGTACTGATGTCTTCTTCCTTGAATTGAAAGACTATTTAGGTGAGCTGCTGCCCAAGAAGTGAAGGGCCTGTTTGGTATTCAACTTAAATCCAACTTTTTAAACTCAAAAATAGAATTTGAGTCCAAAACAAAGAAAACCTGTTTGGTAGGCCTATTTTTAAAAACTTGAACTCAAGAACAACTAAAAAACACCCTAATAATTAAAAACAAAAAATATCTGTTTTTTCAGTTTTTTTCTAACAACCCACAAGTTCTCAAATTTTTAAGATTTGAAAACAGTTTTTAAGTTGCATACCAAACAAGTTTTTGAATCTTAAAAATAGATTTAAGAACTCCTTGTTTTTAAGAAAAATCAAAGTTTTTGAGTTTCCTATTTGAATAGAATATCAAACGCCCCCGAAGTTTCCCGAACAACTCAACTTAAAAAATCTTAAATACATAAAATAAATAAAAACTTCTGGTAGAAAAATTGCTAAAGAAACCACATTATCTCTTTTAGAAATAACATTGCTTCTGGAATATTGATGTTCGCCTTTACTAGTATGTACTGCTTACGATAATTGATATATAATAGAAATACTAATGCAAGTAACACATAACAAAAAGCCAAAAACAAAACAAAACAAACAAAAACAAAGAGGGAGACACATCATATATATATATAGTATTAAACATCACAAAATTTCCTTTTCAAACGAGCCACTTTCAATGCAATTGCTAGTGTTACCTTGTCTTTGACATCATCAATTAACTGAAAATAGGCATACCTACAAGATTTCTTTACCATTAATGTGCCACAAACACCCCAAAAGCCTATGACAAAGCCAAATATACCATGCTAACATAGAACCACAACTTATCATTTTCATCTCCATCATTACTATATTTTGCATCTGTAGCAGTAAAAGTCCCAGTCTTCATCCATCTCCTCAACCCATTTTGCAAGTTTGCAAGTCCAATCAGGTACATGGATCGTTAGTGTATTTTCTTGGTATATATTATCTTCCTGTATCATTGCCATTACTTTATCTTCAAGAATTTACAGGATGGTAGGAGGGTGTAAAATCAATCTTGAAATCATTGCTCCAGATTCCAAGTCCCCATCCCATTTTACAAGTTTTCCAAGTCCTCTATGCACAAAGGTAGTGGAGTTTTGCAGAAGTAGCATTACAATATACTTTTACAAACTGCTCTTTCAAATGCATAGACTAGAAACATGTCATTTTTTATATATGAAAATATCGAATATATTAGTTATACATTACCAACGTTGGGAAAAAACCAAATACATCAAATGCTGCATCATGATTAATCATCTTAACTGCAACAGTAATTTTTCTTTTTCTTTTTCCAATCAATATTTTCTTTGCAAACGAGCCAACTTCAGTTGAATTGACAATGAAACCTTATTTTTGATGTCATCAAAGAATCGAAATAGGCATTCCTCCATGACTCCTTTACAAGTAATGTGCCACAAACACCCCAAAAGCCTACGATAAAGCCCAACACCATGCTGACATAGAATCACAGCTTATCATTTCCATCTGCATTAGTGCCTTTTGCATTGAAGCAGTTAAAGTTTCATCTCCACGGCACTTAGTTGAAAGAGGTTCTCCGCACAGTAACCGGTTGCCGTCATAAATGGACAAAAGGAATTCCACCAGACAAGTTCAAGTGGGACAAGGAGGTTAAAGAAAAAACACTTCAGAGGAATTTTTCGAAAAAGGCGATTGGGTGAGAGATCCAGAGTTTCCAGCCTTTTTCGAAAGTTCTTTGAAGGAATGTTTCCACTTATTTGACAAGTTCAGGATACTCAATGCAATAAGGCTTGTTATTTCTTTTGGGATTTCACATTCCAAATTATTTGATGAAAGATCAATGCTTTTCACCCAGTAGGGTCTTGTTATTTGCAAGTTCTCTTCCTTTTGACGTCAATGTGGTTTGCCCAAAATAGCTTTCATAGTAACTCAATACCATAAACCAAAGAAGTCATATTTTTCAAACACTTGGGAATGGTCCCTGAAAAGTTGTTGTAACTAAGGTCTAGGATGTCAAGCAAGGGAAGATTGCACAACT